TCACTCATGTATCTGGTCTCTCTTTCTCTCACTCACTCAATAGATCTCAATGATGTATCTGGTGATGTATCTTGTCTCTCTTTCTCTCACTCATGTATCTGGTCTCTCTTTCTCTCACTCACTCAATAGATCTCAATAGATGTATCTGGTCTCTTTTTCTCTCACTCACTATTCTTTCTCTCTCACTCAATAGATCTCAATAGATGTATCTGGTCTCTTTTTCTCTCACTCACTATTCTTTCTCTCTCACTCAATAGATCTCAATAGATGTATCTGGTCTCTCTTTTTCTCTCACTCACTACTCATCTGGTCTCTCTTTCTCTTTTTCTCTCACACACTACTCTTCTGGTCTCTCTTTTTCTCTCACTCACTCAATAGATCTCAATAGATGTATCTGGTCTCTCTTTCTCAGATATATCTGGTCTCTCTTTCTCTCACTCACTCACTCAATAGATGTATCTGGCCTCTCTTTCTCACTCACTTAATAGATCTCAATAGATGTATCTGGTCTCTCTTTCTCAGATGTGTCTCCCTTTCTCTCACTCATGTATCTGGTCTCTCTTTCTCACTCACTCAATAGATGTAGTCTCCCTTTCTCTCACTCACTCAATAGATGTAGAATAGATGTAGTCTCCCTCACTCAATAGATGTAGTCTCCCTTTCTCTCACTCACTCAATAGATGTAGCCTCCCTTTCTCTTGTAGTTTCTTTTCTCTCACTCAATAGATGTAGTCTCCCTTTCTCTCACTCACTCAATAGATGTAACCTCCCTTTCTCTTGTAGTCTCCCTTTCTCTCACTCACTCAATAGATGTAGTTTCCCTTTCTCTCAATACTCCCTTTCTCTCATTCACTCAATAGATGTAGCTTCCCTTTCTCTTGTAGTCTCCCTTTCTCTCACTCACTATATAGATGTAGTTCTCACTCACTCATTCTCTCACTCATTCCATACTCCCTTTCTCTCACTCACTCAATAGATGTAATTCTCACTCACTCAATAGATGTAGTCTCTCCCCCTTTCTCTCACTCACTCAATAGATGTAGCTCCCTTTCTCTCCCTTTCTCTCACTCACTCGATAGATGTAGTCTCCCTTTTCTCTCATTCACTCAATAGATGTAGTTCTCACTCACTCAATAGATGTAGTCTCTCTCCCTTTCTCTCACTCACTCAATAGATGTAGTCTCCCTTTCTCTCACTCACTCGATAGATGTAGTCTCCCTTTTATCTCATTCACTCAATAGATGTAGTCTCTCTCCCTTTATCTCACTCACTCAATAGATGTAGTCTCTCTCCCTTTATCTCACTCACTCAATAGATGTAGTCTCCCTTTCTCTCCCTTTCTCTCCCTTTCTCTCCCTTTCTCTCACTCACTCAATAGATGTAGTCTCTCTCCCTTTCTCTCACTCACTTAATAGATGTAGTCTCCCTTTTCTCTCACTCACTCAATAGATGTAGTCTCCATTTCTCTCACTTTTCTCTCACTCACTCAATAGATGTATACTCTCTTTCTCTCATACACTCAATAGATGTATACTCCCTTTCTCTGGTCTGATACTCCCTTTCTCTCACTCATTCAATAAATCTTTCTCTCACTCACTCAATAGATGTATAAGATGTATACTCCCTTTCTCTGGTCTGATACTCCCTTTTTCTCACTCACTCACTCAATAGATGTATAAGATGTATACTCCCTCTCTCTCACTCACTCAATACATGTATAAGATGTATACTCCCTTTCTCTCATACTCTCTTTCTCTGGTCTGATACTCCCTTTCTCTCACTCACTCAATAGATGTATAAGATGTATAAGATGTATTGCGCCGGAAAGCGATGATTCACTTGTCCCCTTGTCCATAGGGACCTCGTGGCATACAACTTATGGAGCTCTCGAATAGCCTCTCCTTAATTGAGGCTCGACTCCTTTCTCTGGAGCCCTCGAACAAAGTACACCATTTGTTGACACTTTAGTCACACTTTTGACTACACCTTCGAGTCTCACAATTCTTTGTTCTAGACACTTTAGTCACACTTTTGACTACACCTTCGAGGATTCTATTGACATGGTTAAGTTTAGGGCATGGCTCTGATACCATGTTAGATGAATAAGACTCTCCACAATGGTATGATATTGTCCACCATAAGCTCTCATGGCTTTGCTTTGGGCTTCCCCAAAAGGCCTCATATCAATGGAGATAGTATTCCTCACTTATAAACCCATGATCTTCCACCAAATTAACCAATGTGAGACTCACTCCCCATAATCCTCAACATACCTTAGGGGCCCAATATCTCAATAGCACCTTTGTCTAAAGCTTCGAATGAGACTGAATATCAGAAACGCAGGAACGATCTGACTAGAAAGTCATTCAAAACTTGATCGAAGAACCCGCATTTATTGAAGAAGCTATAGAGTTGATTACAAAAAGTACTAGTTTGAAAATCTCGTTGGAATTGATCCACTACGAAATTTACATTATACGCAACAAAAGCACCTGAAGTACTAAATAGAATAGGTATTAGTTTGGTAATGGTTGGATTAGCAAACTCGAATTCGATAAGAAACTCATTTTTTGGTAGTACGAAGGGGGAATTGGCCCAAAAATCGGATAGGGGTCAAGACGCAGTCAGGTGCTGGCGGCTCACTCAAGTGCCCCCTGAACCGGGCAAAATGGTCGCCTATTACACGGCTCACTAACTCTGCCTGGGGTGGGGGTACCTATTATTAGTCGGCGGTCCAACGCATCCCTACTTAAAGGATGCTGCTTAATTACAAAGGAAATTTTTTCTTCATCGTGAGAGTTCCCTTTCGTTAAGTGCATCGAGCCAGGAGTGAACATCATCATCTTCTGCAGACAAATCTATATCCTCTTTCATCGTTAGCTTATCTAAAGTGGAATAGTATGACAGGCTTTCCGGAGAATGAAACGAAACCCGCTTGATCGATATGAAAAAGATGCGCTAAAAAAACCTCTTACACCCCCCTCGCCAAGTGATCGAGTTTAGTCGGATTTGCTCTATAAGTTGCTCCCGTTCCGGACTGACTTCCTGGAAAGATAGGATTGGGCAATTCTGCCCGTTCTAGAGTTGACCTGATTATTAGAGAAAGGGGAAAAGGCTTTTTTTTTAAGACGTTGAGTAAGGGGGAGGAGCTTGAGGCTTCTCAGCCACAGGAACAGGGAACGAATCCTCCAAAAATGGAATGAGTTCGCAATGACTACCACAATCAGCCCCCTCATCACTGACCGCTATTTTTTCTTGGTGGGAGTGAACAATGTTTTTTCTGACATTCATTTCTATTGATGAAGAGGTGACCTTGTGCTCTTTAAGAAATTCAGGCAAAGCCCCCCCGAGCCCGAGTTTACTAGGGATCGTAGAGGGACACCCAATCAAGGCTGCCACCCTTGCCCTTTAGAGATAGGGGCAAAGCAACGAGACCGATAGAGAGAGGGGCACAACAAAAAGTCTTCAAAAAAAGGCGTTGAAGGCCTCAAACTCATCCGGAGTTGGAGAATGACAAAACACTTTCTCAACTAGAATACATCAACAAAACTGCCCTTCCATATGGATCATCGTGGCATGAACTTTGTCAAGAAATTCTGGGACTTCCTATTGATCTTGATTAGTTCCAGCTTGTTGAGAGTTCTCTTTTCTTTCTAGACCGGACCCTTTTTTAGACCGTCTCCTGAAACACCTGCTTATCCCGCATGTGCTTTTGGAGCCCCCCACTCATTCAATGACTTGCCTGTGATTGTAGCCATTCCCCGTAAAGGGAGGGAGGAGGGAATCGTCTGCTCCCATTTATGTGACGAACCGAACAACCATCGTTAGGTCCTGAATCCTGCAAACCGCCAGATCCAGACCAAGATCTGATCTCCATTACGTGGTACGATATATCTATCGATTCGAAGAACTGACTTTCAGTTGTAAGTCATCTATTCTGCTCCTATCTAAGGTGATGCTAGGTTGCTTTATCTTCACTCTTCACAAAGACAGGTGCAGGTGCACTTCGCTCGGCCATTTTTAAAATTATATGCAAATTATGTTACACCAATGTTTTATCATCTTGTCTTGGGGGAAGCTGGAGAATTCCCCAACAACCTATGAGCTTCGACCCACCAAAATAACTTCCCACCCCTGTGGTAAAATTGTTTTGTTGGAAGTTGGAACCTAACCACCGGACTCGTTTCCATCTTTTTACTCTCTATTTTTAAGTTGGGCGAGAGCATGGATTTGTTTTAAAGGTGCACATCGCTATTGACTTTCATATAAATTAGCATTGAAAATCTAATGATTCAATTTTATTAGTATGAAAATGATGTTTTTGAATGTTTATAGATTATTGGTTATCATACAACTTGGTAAACTAGTTGTGGCTCGAATTAAAGATGAGAATTGTAGGTTGAGAGAGACATTGTAGGTTAAGAGAGACAGATGACCATTAAAAGGAGATGGCAACTACTATGATTTGCGGCTTCGAATGATGAAATGTCATATGGAGAATTAATGAGAGTAATTGTTATAATTGAGAACCAAAAGTAATGACCAACCTAAACCAATGAAATGTCATATGGAGAATTAATGAGAGTAATTGTTATAATTGAGAACTAAGAAGTATTGACCAACATAAACCACAAAAGAATTATGAGAGTTACACAAAATTAAAAGTTTAAAACCACTTTTTTTGGGATCATGCTAAATTTGACCGTCAATCAAGGTATTGGTAAAAAAAAAAAAATCAAAATTTCACATACCGATATAGATATTTTTATGAAATGATATTATAACAGCCCAAGCCCACCATTTGTTACGATCCAAGCCCACCACTAGTAGATAATCCTCTTTAGAATTTTCCTTCCGAGCTTCCCCTCAAAGATGTGGGATCTCACGGATATTAATACTAAAAACATTTGGATGGACTACAGATGAATGGATACCTGTGCCTACATATATTTATCAATAGATATGTAGGGGCCTATATACATGGGATACGAACATTTAACTTTTGACATGAATATAACCCCATTATCAATGGTTAGCCCAAATAATGGTAATCAAGGTTTACAACAATAATACCTAAACAGTGAGAGCAACAGCATGAGTGTTGCATAATAAGGACACAGAATCCAGAAGGATAGACGTAGGATCAATTTAGATGACTAACACTAATACAATACAATCTACTGCATCGTGTTTCTATAGCAGCAATGAAAACCAGTGATCTAGCTTTTCATTCTTTCCAAGTGTAGGGAGCACGTTCAACGATTAAATAATCATCTCGGATATCTTTTACAACCCGGATATCATCATCGAGGTATACCGTCTCGAACCTATAGAAAATAAGACAAAATGCCACATTTATGCTCATGATTGAACAACAAATAAAATGGTCCAGAACATCTAATACTCTTATCTGTAAGATCTAGACATTATCTTTCATTCAAGTTTAGATACAAGTATGAACGCCCAAACCATTACATGTTGCGAGATGTGGACATGAACATTTAAGTTAGAAATGGACCCAAAAAAAAAACAGAGAATATTTCATTTTTAGTAAAATCCACTTTTAGTAAAATCCAAAAGTAAAATCAAGCGATTGGGTGCAAGTAAATAATATCGTACCATTCACTGTAATAGAAGTAGAACTCGTTGAGCTCTCTTATTATAACTGGAGGCATTAGAGGACAAGACATCTATCAACATGCCGTAAATAGAATCGAACTCCAGTTTTCCCATGTCCATGATTCTTTGGAGGAACAAAACAGGCAATGGTGCTGTAGGCTGCTTGGTAAGTAGTATTGGTTCTTTTGGAATAACCTCAACAAGCTAATGTCGGTACCGTCAGATCAGAAACAGAGAAGTACAATATAAAAGAAAGAGGATTAATGCGAGATCCCACATTGGTTGGAGAGGAGAGGGAAACGAAACGAGTATGAAAACCTCTCCCTAGCAGACAAGTTGTAAAACCGTGAGGCTGACGGCGATACGTGATGGGCCAAAGCGGACAATATCTTCTTTAAATCCAATATTTGCGATACTTTACTCATTTAAGATGGTAACTCCCCAATAGTTTTAGATCCCACAAGAAAACGGAAGTTCTATGGTGATTTTCATTTCGATACTTCACTCATTTAAGATGGTAACTCCCCAATAGTTTTAGATCCCACAAGAAAACGGAAGTTCTATGGTGATTTTCATTTCCTCGTTGAGAAATGATCTAGTGGTAAGCACACTCGTCTGAATTTCATTTTAGGATATGATAGGTGGATCTGGAACGTAGTTGTAATGGCCCAAGCCTACCACCAACAAATATTTTCTAGCTAGTGAGAGGTTTCCACACCTTATAAAGAATGTTCTGTTCTCCTCCCCAACCGATGTAGGATCTCACAATCCACCCTCCTTCGGGGCCCAGCGTCCTTGCTGGCACACCGTCTCATGTCCACCCCCCTTCAAGGCTCGGCCTCCTTGCTGGCACACCCCCTCGTGTCCACGCCCTTTGGGACTCAGTCTCCTCGGCACATCGCTTGGTATCTAGCTCTAATACCATTTGTAACGGCCCAAGCCCACCGCTAGCAGATATTGTCCTCTTTGGACTTTCCCTTTCGAGCTTCTCCTTAAGGTTTTTAAAACGCGTTTGCTAGGGAGAGGTTTCTACTCCTTTATAAAGAAGGTTTCGTTCTCCTCCCCAACCGATGTGGGATCTCACAATAGTACTTTGAAGTTATCAGCCACTTTGATGGATTGATGAATATTTTTTTCAGACACATAATATGTTTGATTGTAATGTAGCATGTAATGAAGTCAATAGGAATTTGTGTAAGATCATGGAATGTGTTGTTATTTCTATAAAACCACAGCATATCTTCAATAGAATTCTCTCTTTGAATGACTTTTCAAACCCCTTGGATTCATATTGATTACACCCCTTGGATTCATATCTTCATATCTTCAATAGAATTCTCTCTTTGAATGACTTTTAACATGAAGGATGATATTGTCCGAGAATCAGCTTTTTGTAGAGACAGAAGGTGGAGTTTTTGATGTATCAAGGATTGAAGTCATTGATGAGTCTCAGTCTATAATTTGTCCTAGCTTTTGATTCTAGTATTGATCGAACAAAATCAATGGTTACGGCAAGAACATGGTGAACTCAGAGTTTAATATCAAATATTTCAGACATGTCATATAAACATTAACCATATATAAAAAAAGCGAACAAAAGGGAACTCATAAAGACAATTAACTCACCAGCCCTGTCCGAATGGTGGCAAAGGAATTTCCCAGTTTTTTCCTCGCAGAACAGCACTTGTAAATCTAAACAACCAGATTCAAACTCAATATCAAATCAAATGTACATTATATGCTAATTTGATAGCTTTAAAATACAACCATTGAATTGAAACAGCAATTCATCTATGAAGACTAAATTAAAGGCACATTGGTATGGATTAAAAGTAGAGGCAGAGAGAACATACCTAAAATTCACTCTCTGAGAGGAAGCAACTTCAATGCTGGATCGAACGAAGAAAACCCCATCTGGAGGAAAAGTGATGACATTATTAAGACTCTTTTTCTTGACATCAATCACCTGCAAAACATCCCCAGCTTGAGTACCAAACAAGTGAGCCTTCTCAATGATGAACAGCTGCTCTTTCTCAGTGGTCCATAGAAGACGCCATGTCGCAGAAAGTGAATCGTCCGTTGTGACAGAATTTCGAGCAAGAGACGCCAAGGCGTCGATTGATTTCACAATTGAAGCAAGTTTCTGAGGGCTTTTCTGGGTCTTGAGACCTCTTTCTTGGTCGGAGATGAGGGCGAGGAGTTGGTCTTTGGGTGATTGAGATTGAATGGATATGGAAGAACAAGAGATTTTGGGGAGTTGAGAGAGACGGGTTCCAATGGAAGAAGAAGGGGAATTGAAGGGACGCGATGGAAGAGAGAGGGATTTGGCCATAATGAGAAAATTATGTGATCATCCATCCTCTCTGAGTTTTTTTTCTAGGGATTATTTCACAATTTTTGTGAAATAAAAAAGAGAAAAATATATATATATGAAAAAACCAAAAAATCACAATTTTATTAAAAATCTATTTCTTCTTCAAATTATTCTAGGGTTTTACAAAAGAATTCCTCAACGATTTACTTTTCGAAGTAGAATAAATCAAACAGAGTACCGCGAAAAATCTAGAAAAACCCTAACCCCGTCGCGACGTGATGGTTCCGGGCTAGGTGAAACAACGACGGCAACCGAGGCCCTCCGATCATTTTCTCGACTTTCTTCGCCACTTTAGCTCTCAAATCCATCAATGACAATCGGAACTCCTTCAATTCCTCTAACCTCATCCCTTCCACCGCCAACTCCCACCAAAATCCGCCGTTATTTCTCGACTCCTCCGACACGTGAGTCAATTCCTCCGCTCACTTCTTCGCCACTTCGAACTTCAACACTAAATCGGCGAAATCGCGATTAAATTCAGTTACAGGAACGAAATTCTCCGCCGGCTTCAGCGGCGACAAATTTCGAGTCAAATACCGATCCAAAAGCACGTCAACATTCGGATGTGCAAAACAAAAAAACCTTATCGTTCGGAGAGAAGCCAATGATGGCAACCTCTGCTCCGCATAGCACAGAAAGCTCACCGGCCTTCTTGAAAAGTCGGGCACGACGCTTCGAAAAGGTCACTAGTTTGCTGCTCTTCTTCTCTAACTTCTTGATTTCGATCTTTTGACGGCCAGGAGTTTTCTAAAAAAATTTCGTGAAATTAATAATTTTGTTTTATTTAGTTTCGGTAATTAATATAAGTAAAATTAAAGTGAGTCAGCTATTTATTGTGATAAATTATTTACATTGGTGTTACAAAATTAAAATAAAATAATAATAATAATAATAGAATACGAAAACTCGATCATAATAGACCAATTTTGGGTTTTGACTTTGAAATCCTTTCGTTGTAGTAAAGGTTGGACGTTAGATCTCCAATAAATACAACATTTTCGCTTTTAAGTTATTTACATAGGTATAAAAAAGTGACTAGTCTCCATCTAATAACTCGTTTATGTCTTGCTTCCCACTCCAGTAATGCAAAACTCAGCAGCTAATTCAATCTCAGATTGAAGCGATTTGATTCAATTCTCTATAGTTCTTCAATATTCTCAGTGATTCAAACAAATCAAACAAACCTTCTCATAATTCTAGCCAACAAGATTCTCATGACCCATAAACTTTACAAGATTCTCACGACATGTTAGTATCCGTTTAAAAAATGCTTATAAATTTTTAAAAGTAACCTTAATTTCAAGCTTTTAGAAAGAAAAAAAAAATTCATATCCTGAAAGATAATTTGTCAATATAGGTAGACAATTTAATATTAAAACATTTTTAATAAAATTTAAATGCGTTAATGCTATTTTTTAAAATTAATTTAGATTTTTGAGCATCAATAAAACTTTTTAAAATTTAAGTGTGAGATTATGTTAACCAATTTTTCCTATTTTTAGACTAAATTTATATTTCTTCCTCTATAAATATAATCATACTCTTATTTCTTTTCACTACAAACTTCACTAATAAAGCAAATTCTACGATGAATTTCTTCACTCTCCTAGTTATTCTTTTCGGATTCTCCTTTTGTTCTCTGTTCATTGATAATGGCCCCGTCGTCGTTCAAGCTTTCCATAAAGCTTTCCATAAAATCTATCCCGAATTACAGTCTCTCGAAAACGGCAACGACACTACTGAGATCAAGCAGCTCCATCGAACTGGTTTCCACTTTCAACCTCATCGTCACTGGATGAACGGTTCGTAATTTTTACATTTTCATTACCTCATTTCCTCTCGTTGATACAATTTTACCCGACCGGATCCGATCAAACCTTAAAACAGTGTGCACATCTGTTTTTCTTTATTTGGTATTACTATTATTATAAAAAATAACATTTCCCTTATGACGCGGAGAATACACGTTAGCACATTGTTTTTATAATTATTTTGATATGAGCTCCATAAACATGTCATCTTATGCAGACCCGAATGGCCCAATGTATTTCAAGGGAATCTACCATCTATTCTACCAATACAACCCCGAAGGCGCGGTTTGGGGGAACATTGTCTGGGCTCACTCAATTTCTAGAGACCTTATCAATTGGAAGTCACTCAAACCCGCGCTTTCCCCCTCAAAGCCCTTTGATATCAATGGCTGCTGGTCTGCCTCCGCCACCGTCCTCCCCGGCCTCAAGCCCGTCATTTTATACACTGGAGTCGACTCCCAGAATCGACAGGTACAAAACTACGCCATTCCAGCGAACCTCTCTGATCCGCATCTAACCGAGTGGGTCAAACCGGATAACAATCCGATTGTTGACCCGGGTACGGAGGTCAATAGTAGAGCCTTTCGGGACCCGTCGACGGCGTGGCTGAGCTTCAACGGTCACTGGAACACCATCATTGGCAGCAGGAGCGAGCAGACGGGAATGGCGTATTTGTATAGGAGTAAGGATTTTTTGAATTGGACTAAGGTGGAACAGCCTTTGCATTCTGTTCCGAATACCGGAATGTGGGAGTGCCCTGATTTCTACCCAGTTTCCCACTTCGGTAGATTTGGTGTGGACACGTCGGTGACGGGAAATTGGGTTAAACATGTGTTGAAGGTGAGCTTGGAGATGACTAGATAAGAGTATTATACGGTGGGGAAGTATTATCCGATGACGGACAAGTATGTTCCCGATAATACCTCGGCGGATGGGTGGAGTGGGCTGAGGTATGACTATGGCAATTTCTATGCTTCCAAGTCGTTCTATGATCCGATGAAGAAGAGAAGGGTTTTGTGGGGTTGGGCTAATGAATCTGATAGTGTCCAGGATGATGTTTCCAAGGGATGGGCGGGAATTCAGGTCTGTTTTAGATGCAATGTGCTCTGTTTTGCTCTGTTTTGTTCTATTTTTAATTGAATTTGCTCTATTTTGTATTTGGGCCGACCTTTTCTTTCTCCTTTTTGTAGGCGATTCCTAGGACGGTGTGGTTGGATCCCAATGGAAAGCAGCTCTTACAATGGCCAATTATGGAGCTCAATAGGCTGAGACGGAAGATAGTTATGATGATAAATCGAAAGCTGGTTAAGGGACAAAATGTTGAGATCAAAGGAATTACTGCGGCTCAGGTTAGTATGTTTAATTTATAACAACCCGCTCTTAACCCAAATCCCCGACACTGTGGTTTGTAGCAAGTTAAGAAGATGTGAAAGCACATCTAAGATTAAGGGAACAAACTGGGTGTCATCATTTGATTGACTGTTTGAGTGGTTTGTAGCAGGTTAAGAAGATGTGAAAGCACATCTAAGATGAAGGGAACAAACTGGGTGTCATCATTTGATCGACTGTTTCATCGACTGTTTCTTGTGTTTTATATAGGCCGATGTTGAAGTTATCTTTAAGTTTTCGAGTTTGGATAACGCAGAGACATTTGATCCAAGCTGGGTGGACGCACAAGCCGTGTGCAGTCAGCTAGGATCAACGACCCAAGGTGGTGTCGGACCCTTTGGGCTTCTGACTCTGGCTTCAGAAAACCTTGAGGAGTTCACTCCTGTGTTCTTTAGGATCTTCAAGGCAGAGACTAACCACGTGGTTCTTATGTGCTCTGATGCAAGAAGGTAGCTTCAATTCCCTTGTCAAAGGACCTTATAATTATTTTTTCATATTTACAAAGCTCTTGTTTCTCTCTTTTGGTGTAGCTCTTCTTTGAAGGATGGATTATACAAGCCGACATTTGCGAGTTTCGTTGACATTGATTTGTCGAGTAAAAAGCTCCCATTAAGAAGCTTGGTACGTTAGAGTCATAGTCCAATACGTTCTCGCGCCGTATCGGCAAATCTAAACTATGTATTATTGTGCAGATTGATCACTCGGTGATAGAGAGCTTTGGTGGAGGAGGAAAAACATGCATAACTTCGAGGGTATACCCAACAAAGGCAGTGTTTGAGGATGCTCATTTGCATGTGTTCAACAATGGAACAGAGTCTATCACAGTGGAGTATCTCTAAGCGCTTGGAGTATGAGAAATGCTTTGGTGAACTAACTCTTTTTTAAGTTAGAACAAATTTCTAACCACTAATAATGTTAGAACTAACTCTTATTTTTTGTTTAATTAAGGTTGTAATGCCTTTTTTTTTTTTTTTTTTGTTT